AAATGAAGTCACACTGGGTTAGGGTGGGCTTCCCCAGTGACTGATGTCTTTAAAAGGGAAATTTGGCACAGATGTGACACAAAGGGAGAACACCGGGGTGGGGGGTGACTAGAGCACGTGTCTGTACAGGGCACACCAAGAACTGTGGAAGACCATGGAAGCCAGGCAGAGGCAGGAAGGGTCCTCCCCCTAGAGCCTCAAAAGGCAGCATGGACCCACTGCCACCTTCATTTCAGGCTTGTGGCCTCCACAAAGGTGGGAGGGTATATTTCTGCCATTTTGAGTCACCTGTGACAGGAAATGACTACACCTGTGTTCTACCTAAAGTTGTGCCCTGTCCCACCATGGGACATATTTAACACTCAAGGAGATAGCAGGCCACGTGCCGCAAGGGTCCTCAGTCCTGCAGTACGGTGATGATCCAGGGCATCACCAGTCGTTTTCACACTCAGCTATTATCTAAGTGTCAGCTCTCCTATTTATAAATGGGAGGAAAATGCCATTGTATTCAGGTTTGAACAGATTCATTGCCTCAATTCTAAAGCCACCAGTCTATGCAGCTGAACAAGCTGCTCGCTCCCATCCCCGCTGGAAGCCACTGCACAGAGCCATGTCTGGAGCTCAATGCTTGCTTTGTCTCCCTGGTTGTTCACTTGAGCAGACTTGGAATCACTGGTACAGCCTTTGCTGGCAAGGTAGAGGCTATTGCTTGATGATCCTGAAGTCAGTTTTACCTTCTGAGTCACTCATTTGGATTACAGGCCTAAGGCTGGCTTTTATTACCTGTGCTCTCACCCACAGTCGCCAGCAGTCCAAACCCAAAGAGCATCTTCGCAGGGCGTTCCCATGCTGCATCTCAGTGAGTGGCCTCCTGCCTGCATCTGAGTTTTCCAATGTAATGCTGGCTGCAATATGCATTTTCTATGTTAGACTATCAGAATTATGATAGGCATATGTAATTTAGATTTAAAGTATTTAATGAATAGAATAAGTGTTCCCATGAAATGGTTTTTCATTGTTATCACAAATCTATACCTGCCTTTTATAGCATGAATTCTAATGCATCTCCTGCGTAACAGCAGCCTTCCTGCTAACACTGGCCCAAATATTTACTCAATAAATATTTCTCAATCCTCTCCAAGCACCTTGGGAGACATAATTAGTTTTCTCATATACATGGTATCAAAGTGCCTGCCGTTTGGAAAGAGTTGGTATTCCAGACTATGAGAACTTGCCAGTAAAGGGAGCGTAAAGAGGCCTTGCTGCTTACTAACTGTAGAATGATGCTGACCTATGGTAGGTGTCCAATAAACATGAGTTTTCCTTCCTTTCACTCCATGCAGGAAGGAGCCAATATATTGCTCCCTGGCCAGGTTCTTTATATAATATCTACGAGATGACTTCTGACCCAAAGGGAAAAGATGCAACAGAGGCCAAGGAGGAACCGGTGTAGAGCTCCGGGTTCCTGAACACATCGTGCAGCAGCTCATTAGCTGTAGGGATGCAGCAGAGAGCACACATGAACCTTGGGCTGCTCACCTGAGTGTCCTGGTGATCAAGGCGGTGTTGTTAGACACTGCAGCACAGAACTCTTGAAAGTGTTCGCAGCCTCTAGTCTGCACAACACCGGCCTTCTGCCAAAGGCTTTTTTTTCAAAGCAGCTTTTTGAGATACAATGCGCGTAGCAGACAATTCACTCATTTAAAGATGCAATTCAGTGGCTATTACCATATTCATAGAGCTATGCGGCCATTAGCCCAGTCAATGTAGAACATTTTCATCACCTTCAAAACCATATCTCTTTAGCTATCTTTCCTCCATCCTTTGTAAAGCCTAAACAACCACTAATCTCCTTTTTGTTTTTTGCTTTTTTGGAGGGGCAGATCGAACTCGGGTCCTTGCACTTGGGAGGCAGGTGGTGGCACCACTGAGCCAAATCCCTGGCCCAAAATTGTTAATTTTTATGAAGTCAAATTTATCTTTGGTTGCTCAAGTTTCTGGTATAAAATCTAAGAATACCTTGCCCAACACCAGGTCATAAAGATTTACCCACTGTTTTCTTCTAAGAGTTTATGGGTTTTGATCTTATATTTAGGATTTTAATAAATTTTATTTGATTTTTATGTATGACAGAAGTAATCATTTATCTTCATTTTTCATGTGAATATTCAATTGTCCCAGCATATCCCCCCCCGTGTGTGTGTGTGTGTGTGTGTATGTATGTATTAATGGTACAGGGCTTAGACACTGGGGCTTCACACTGAGCTATATCTGCAGCCCCCCCCACCCCTTTTTAATTTTGAGATAGTGTCTAAATTGCTAAATTGCCTGTATGGGACTTGAACTTCCAATCCCCCTATTAGGCCTAGCAGAGTCCTGGAATTTACATGTATGTGCCCAGCTGTCCTGGCACCATTGAAAAGACTGTTCTTTCCCCCACTGAATGGTCTTAGAACTCTCACTGAAAATCAGTTGAGTATAAAAACACATGGATTTACTCCTAGACCCTCAATTCTACTCCACTCATTTATAAGTCTACCCTCTTGCCCATTACATCCATGTCTAAATTCCTGTTGCTTTATTGTAATTTTGAAATCAAGACATGGTAGTCCTCTGCTTGGTTCTTTTTTGTGATTGCTTTGGCTCTTTTGTGTCCTTTATAATTCAATATGAGCTTTAGAATCAGCTTGTCAATTTCTTCAAACAAATTAGCTAAGATTTTGACAGGGATTTTTTTTTAAATTTATAGAACAATTTGGCTATATGGTTATTTTAATAAGTTTTCCAGTTCATGAGCATGTATTTTTTTTATTTTGCTATATCTTTTTAAACTTCTTTCAACAAGGTTTTATAGCTTTTCAGAGTATAAGTTTGAATTTCTTTTGTTTAATTTTTTAAAGTACTTTATGCTTTTTTACTGCTATTGTAAATAGAATTTTTCTCTTAATTTCATTTTTGGATTATTCAATGAAAGCAATACAATTGATTGTTTTGTGTATTGATTTTTTTATCCAGCAACTTTCTGAACTAATTCATTTGTTCAATGGTGGGTTCCTTAATATTTTGGACATATAACAGAGAGATTTACTTTTTTCCCCCTCTTATAAATTATTTTGTCTTGTTCCTGAGCTTAGGGGATGGCATCCAATCTTTCACCATTAACTATGATATTAGCTCTAGGGCGTTTGCAGTAAAAAAAAAAGTGCCTTTCTAGTCCTGATTTGTTGATGATGTTATCATGAAAAAGTATAGGATTTTGTTAAATGTTTTTCTGCATCTTGTGTAGTTCTTTTAATTCTCAGTATAGTGCATTACATGAATTTAGTTTTGGATGTTAAATCAATTTTGCATTCCTAGAGTGAATCTTACTTGGCCATGGTGTGAAGTCTTTTCAAATATTGCTAGATTCAACTCTGTGAGTATTTTGTTGATTTCTACATCCATTGGTCTTGTGATGTCTGCCTGGTTTTGATAACAGAGTAATATTGGCCTAGAATTATTTGGAAAGTACTATATTCCCTCCTCTTTTACTAATTTTTTTTCAGAAGAACTGATACCATTTTCTTTCTTTTAATGGTGGATTTACCTGTAAAGTCATTTTTGAATTTGGGTTTTCTTTGAAGATAGTTTTTTTATTACTAAGTTAATCTTTACTTGCTATCAGTCTATTCAGATTGTTTCATCTTGAGTCAGTTCCAAGAGTTTGTCCATTTCACCTGTTGTCTAACTTATTGGCATACAGTTAGTCATAGTATTTTTTAATATTTTTATTTCCATAAAGTTGGTAGTATTATCTGTATCCTTTTTCATTTTTAGTTCTAATCTTTTGATATCTCTGTCTCTCTCTCTCTCTCTCCAATTTAGCTAAAGATTTGTTTATTTTGTTCATCTTTCTAAGAACCGGTTTTGGTTTCATTATTTTCCCTATTCCTTTTTTCTTCTCCACTGAATTAATCTCTATACAAATCTTTATTATTTATTTCCTCCTAATTTAACTTTCACTTCTTTTTCTAGTGTCTTAAGGTAAATGATTATTGAGATTCTCTTCCTTTAAAATATAATTATTAACCATTATAAATTTACATGGGAGCCCTATTTCAGCAGCACCCCATCTGCCTTGACCTATTTCTAGCCAAGCTCCACGTGTCCTCAGCTGTGAAAAGATCTGCTAACTCTCCTCATAAAATCAGGCCTTATCTTTTTCAATACCTTCACGGTAGGAGGAATCCATACATAGAAAAGACATCTGGATCTTCTGGCCCTAAATATGTTTTCCCGGTTGGCAGTCTTGAGGGGCTCATGTGTTTTTTGTTACTGATTGCATTTTGTGTGTAGGATGTATCAAGACCAGTCCTGAAGTACTTGGGGGAACCAGTGCCAGGCTGGGAGCCTCTTCAGGTCCTCTGCGCCCCCAGCACTTTAGCCTTTAGCTCTCACGTCCAGTTGGGGAAAGACCCTAGTGCCGTCTGGATCGTCATTTGTGTTCTCCGTGTAACGGGACTGAAAACGCAGGAGCGAGCGCTATCACACTCGCGAAGCCGCTCCAACAACTGCCCAGTTGTTTCTTTTAACTCTGGGGCTATGTGGCTTCTGCTTGATCGCTCCTGGAAATCCTGAGCCAGGCCAGGGATGTAGCGGCGTTGATCAAGATAGGAGAGCAGGGAGATAGTGACAAGCCAGCAGAGATCCTTCAGGGGCCACAGAGGGGGGGAAACTTTTGTTTAGATTTAGTTTCCACGTCATCAATAGCCAAGATAATGACTTTTCTTCTAAACATGAAAGGACTTGTCTCCCATTTTCTACTAAAATACGCTTTCATCGGGGAGGCAGATGTCTCAGTCTGCTGACAAGGTGCCTTTTGTAATTATGCTGTGGTGCCCATTTCTCCTCCATTGCATTCCGTTCTCACAGACAGTAGCATGGGGTTGGCCATGACTAAGATTCAGGTCGCTCCCAAACTGCTCTGATCTCTGCTTCTCTGCTGCTACCTTCTTGCTTAGCCAAGACCGTGACCATGGAAGAATGCCTGGGGATCCCCGCAGGCATGAACCGCTACAGCACTGACCCCTGCTCCGCCACCTTTAACCACACGGGCTCTTTGCGCCCTTCCTCACTGTACTGCAAGAAGCTGAACTCTGGAGACTGCCGTCTCAGGGGAGGCCCAGCCACCACCACCAATATTCCGCGTATCGGCCCTGTGTCCTCCGGAGGCCCCTCAGCACCTGGACTGAGGCCCCCAGCCTCCAGCCCCAAGAGAAACGGGACTTCTCTTGAAGGAAACAGATGTGGTAATGTAACGCATGCCTTGGCTCTCCTGCAACTCATCCTTGCCCTGGGAACACAGCGTGGGGAGGAGAGCATGGCTGCTTGAACATGGGACCACCGAGAAGTCAGAGGTTTTCGCAGGCCCTGTTAAGGGTTTTTAGTTTTTGAGGGCAATGAATTTGAACTTTGACCACAAACAAAGAAAATGGTGAATGAGGGTAGTCTGAGCTGTAGGTAGGTATAAATAGACCCCAAAAGGTGTACTGGCCCAGATATCATAGAGGTTTTTGTTCAAGAGTCTATAGTGGGTGTTCCTAGTTTCTAGGTGTGTCTCAATGCAAGGACCTAGGCTGTGCCATCCTCTACCACCTTATGCCCCATGCATCTAGTGGATATAAAAGGACAGAAGCAATGGAGAAGCCAACATGGAGAAGGCACGCATGCTTCCCTGAAGCCTGTCAGGGATACACACACATTCCACATGCATTCCACATGCATTCCATTGGCAAGAGCTGGTTGTTTTGTCACGCTTAATTGTGAGGAAGTCTGGGAGCTATATCTCTGTGCTGAGGAAAAAGAAGAATCAGACTCTGGTAAAGAACTGTCTCGTGTAGTGAGTGATACTTCCAAGGTACAAGTACACCAACAGAAGCAGAAATCCTAAATGGTGTTTTTCAGGGTACTTCTGTCTCACCCACTAAATGCTGTTAACGTGAAGTATGGGAAAGTACTTGGAGTGAGACAGGGATAACTTGGAGGCCACTCTGACTGACGATTTACAAAATCATTTTCAAGCTTCAGTATTTCATTAATGAATAGAGGCCATGATGCAGACTGGGTAGTCTCCTGGATGTTGGCCAGCTGCCTGGGCAGGAATCCTGGATCTGCTGCTTCCTGATGGTGTGGCCCCTCGCAAGTCTTAACTTCTCTGTGCTCGGTTTCATCATCGGTACAGTTGGAATGATAATAGCAGCAGCCCCTACTTCATCGGATTAAATAAGTTCATGCATATATTTAGTACAAGGCCTAGGTATAGTAAGAGCTCAATATGTGTGAGTAGTCGTAGATCTCATACATGCACATTTCAACAGATCATAGCCCCATGGACTCACAGCTCAGAACTGTGGCAAAAAGGAGGCCCCAGATCAAAGGGTCAGGGAGTCCTCATCTTGCCTGTCTTCTTTGATACTTCACATTTTTCTTCTGGCCATGGTTCCCCTGCTGTGAGCCACCCTCAGAAGCTCTTTGTGTGGGGCAAGGTGCTCCACACATTCCTGTCAGAGAGCCTCACCCCCACACACACCCACCATGAGCATGGCCCTGACAGGCCTTGCTGGCCAAGGGTGGAGAGGAGAGCAGGGCCTTTGAGGCACAGGTGGTTCTGAAGGGCAGAGCAGAGCCCCTCAGTGGTGGAGGCTCTTGCCAAGTGTAGAGGCGCCATGTGGACCACTCCCCAGCATTGTCACCCAGGGCCGCTGACTGGGCAGTGGATGTAAGTGGGCAGAGCCCTAATTTCCAAAGGAGAGAAACATGATTTTATTTGGTTTCTAAAAGAAGGGGTCAAACCTGGTAGCTACCAATGTCTTCAAGAGGGGCACTATTTATTTCATAGGTTTGTCCCCAGAGGCAGTACAACATCTGGCAACAGAACGTGGTCAACAAACATTCACTGTCCCTGTGGCTTCACAGTGCCCCTGGCTGTCAAAACCCTCGTCCCGGTGTCCTGCTGCCTTTCAAATGTCCCTCTCTCACCCTCTTCTCCTCCACTCAATTCCAGTTTTTCTCAAGGTGGTGACTGCAGGACACTGCTCTGATTGAATCAAGTCCTAATGCTGAAGGTATTGCCACTTCTTAAAAAGGAGAGATTTACTCTCTGTCCCGTTCATGTGGCTGACAGCTCAGGCCCTGCATCTTAAGTGCAGGATTCTAAGCGGTAGGAGGGAAGCTGGATTTGGCTGGAGAAACGTGTCGTTGCCCCGTCCCAGTCTGCCTGTGACCCTTAGTTAAGAGAATCCAGGTTCCTTCAAGGGGCCTCAGAGTATCTTCCCTCCTCCAGCCCCTCAACATCTCCTCTAGCTGGGCCCAGCCTGTCCTCCTGTTCTTCAGCGTCACCCACTGCAGCTCTTTGTTCTCTTGAAATGCAGCCCTCCCTGAGTGATCTTGCCAGACAGCTGCTGGAGGGAAACCAGGTGCTTGCTCAGAACTTGGCTCTGGAAAGCCCCATCCGTGGGTCCCCCAGTCACACCCACGTGGGCCCCTGAGCTCAGGGCTTTGCCCTCAGGATCTTACATGAGATCAGAGAAACAGCCCACCAGTGTTTGCTGCTTTCTGCTGCAAGCAAACCAATGACTATCCTGCATGCCAGTAGTCTTTTTGCAAGTTAGAAAAATTAAAAAGAGCCTTACCTAAAACCTTAAATATTCACAACAGCAGGAGCCCCTGGGGCTGCAAAATGTTGGCAATCACAGAGCTACCCTTGGCATAAAGCTGCTATAGGACGTAAGGGTTGAAGTGAGTCTTGTGATACATTGGAAGAAAAAAAAACTATTTGTCTTTTGTAAGTACACGAACTGTTCTGTGCTCCAAAGGATCCGTCTAACCCATGCCTTTGACAGAGTACTAAATGAAACCGTGGTTACCAGACAGAGCCACTCAGCCTTGCAGTCTCAGGAGCAAGGCACATCTTGGAAAGAGCTTTCCCCTTCCACTGACATTTCGTTGGACAGAATTTAGTCACGTGGCCGCTAGTGGCAAGGGAAGCTAGGAAATGTGGTTTCAATTTCAGGCAAACAGGATTTAAGCAGAAACCAAGGATTCTATTACAAAGGAAGATGTTGGATGCCTACAGGCAGTCTCAGCAGCACCTCCTGATTGGAAATACTTCCTCCTCTTCTCTTTCTATGGCACAGCAGGGCACTGAGCACTGTTCCCTCATCTGTAACACATCCTTTCTCCCAAAGGTAGGGAGAAAGATTCCCCAACTTTATGCGAAAGATTCCCCAACTTTATGCGTTTTCTCGTTCCTATTTGAATCCCCCACAGCCTCAGGAAAGGGGGCTTGGTAGAGGCCTGCATCAAGCTGCTTTTTATTGAGCACCTATTATGGACCACTTTCCTACATTGTTTATGATTTGTTTTAACATGTTTATAATTTATAATAAGAAATTGTCTGTATTACATCCAAATTATAGATAAAGAAAGTAAGGATCCAGAAGTCAGTCAAGTGTGGAGCCAAGATTTGACTACAACCTACTCTAAAGCCTGTGTCTTTCAGGACCACCCCAGGGATCTTCCAACTGTGTGTGAAGGTTTCTAAGGGGTCCCTGTGGGGTTCTAGCAGATGGAGAAGAATGGATGGGAGCAGACAGAATGCCAGGCTCGCTGCATCTCTCTGAAATAAGGCCTCTTCACATTTGCAGAATGAGGTTCTATGTGTGCTTGCTTGAACAAAATTTGCAAAGCTAAAGATGTTTGGAAACCAAGTCAGGTTTCCACTATGCACAACTGCATGGTGATATACTAAAGTGGGAGAGAAAAAACACCGGCCTGTCTGTCCATTTCTTACCCAGCTGCCAGCCTGCAGCCCTACTGTGGGTCCTTCAAAGGCCATTAAAATCACCCTCCAAAAGCCTGCTCAGTATTGCTCTGAAATTCCTTCCAAGTGAAATCAGTTGTCACCAAGAAACCATGCCTCTGTCAGAGGGTTAGACCCAAGTCGTAAAGGCTGGAAGAAACCTAGAAATAGCTGCTCTCCCTAGGGTGCTAATCAGCATGGCTTAAAACCACAGAAACCAGAAAATGGCATAGGCTGCAGGCAGGGGGACTTGACTGATTCCTCAGCCACCTTCCCTCCCATGTGGACACTCACCCTGGCCACCTGCTGTCTTGATGTAGCTCCCTGTCTCCTTGCTAGTAGGCTCCAAAGGACTGTTTTCACAAGGCATGTTTCCCTGGGGTTTGCAGAGACTCCAGTGAATGCTTGAAGGCTCTTCCCTGGCTCTCGTTGAGGAAAGATATAATCACCAGAAACTATAACAAGGTTTCAGATAGCAAGAACTTCCTGACTTTTGCACTGAACAGAACATGCTATAGTATTTCCAACCACAGCTAGGCTCAAGATTCAGAATCCAGAAACAAAATAAATCTGACATTATTGTCACTACCCAAATGCTTCCTGTGGCTTAGATTTTTCTTCGATGGGGTATGGCATTGGAGGAGAGCTAGAAAAAGAATGAGGACAATTGCTCATGGGGTGGGGCGGGGCATGGGAAGGGCTTGTTCATTCTAGGGAGAGAAGAGTTTGTGCAGGACAGTGAGGGAAATCAAGCTGGAAGATTTGGGGTCCATGGCCAGCAGATCAGCTTTGGCCTGTAGTAATCATAAACTGGGTATTTCTGAGCAGGGGAGTGAACTGATGGTCATGAGATTCCGGAAGCTTTCATTTGTGAAATAACGTATAAGGGAAGAAGAGCAGCTAACTCGCGGTTCATTCCATGGCACTGCCCCACGTAATCCTCTCCCCAGCCCAGCATGGCGGTGGTTTCACAGGTGAGGTAACTGACTCAGAGAGGGTGAGACCGTCCTAGTCTGCAGATGTGCACCAAGCCAGAGACTCCTCTTCGCTGGTCTCAGGATGGAGAGGTGAATCAGACAGACATGGGCACTGTTCTTAGGGTGTGTGCAAATCCAGACAGACAGGCGTTAACAACTTATCACACACATTTACTCAAAACTGGCTTCTTGCTGGCAGCCACGAGTGTCTGAAGGGAAGATCTTGCCAGTGACAGTGGAAGGGCAGCAGGAGCGGGCTGGGGAGGAAATGGGCGAGGGCAGCTGGAGGCTCTGGCAGAGATGGCGTTGCTTATAGGAGGTCCCAGTGTCTGCTGGCGGCCGAGAAGGACTCCTGCCCAGCTTGGCCGGACCTCAAGTCTGTGATCCGTCTCACCTCTAGAGGTCACCTCTGTCCTCATACTGGCAGGGCAGCTGTTCTCGAAGAGTTAAATGAAAACCCTGTGTAGAAATTGAAGGAGTGGCTAGGCTCTCTTCTCTCTCCTGTCTCTCTTGAGCACCTCATAGTGTCTTGGAAACTCTGGAATAGAAATAGTGAAAACAGCACTGTTGTAAACAACCCAATTTTGCCCATGCTGTAGGCCAGCTTGGGTACCTCAGACTCTCACCACGGCCTTGTTTCCAGGAAGGAGGTATCCTATGGGAACCAGTCACTTGGAGATGCTGGGAGATCTTCCCTCCCTCCCTTTGTTTTCCTCTCCTCACCTGCTTCCAGCCAGCTCCGGCTGCCCGAGAGGGTCTCAGAGACCGCAGCAGCCTGAGGGGGGCGTCTCAGGGGTCCTGTGAGGAATGGTGGGCTTCCCTTGAAGGTGTTGTCAGGCTCCACTCATTTGACTCATAACATACTCTTGAGAAGCAACAAATGATAGGCACAATTTATAGAGGTAAAAACTGAGGCCCCTAGAGAATGTCTGAGCCAGGAAGTGATTAGAAGGCTGGTGGTATATTCTACCTGTGGACAAAGGGATGAGGTCTGCAGTGGTAAAGGTAACTTCCTGTGCACCCACAGCTGGTGGTGAGGATGGGACAGGCCTGAGGTGGGAGGGGCCGCACAGAAGCCCAGGGACAGTACGGACCATAGTCATGTGGCTCTTGGCTTATTCCCCTCTCCCCTGCAATTCCATTGTTAGCTAGAGTTCCCCTGAATTATGAATGAGCAAAAGACAATTATGTATGTACTTGTGGGAGCAGAGAGAGGGAGGGAAGGAGACAGAGAAGGATTTGCACACATGATACAAGTGCTTGTGCTTTGGAAGGGGCTGGGATTGCTTTTGAACACTGACTCACAGTCGTCATTCTATTTCTGCTAACTACAAGTTCAGCTTTAGAAATGAGATGTAATTATACACTCATTCACCACTGAGTTTTGCTTTTCGTGTCTCCGCAGCCCTCAGAGCAACAAGACCAAGCACAGGGTTCTCTGCTGAACACTGCCGTCTCTTAGGGCACACGGCGAGCGGGCCACAGGCCGAGCCTGGGTGGAGCGCATGTGCTCGCTCCATCACTGCTCCCCATCCACCCAGCGGCCTGGCTCTCCTGGCTGCATCAGTCGGGCCCCATCTGCCTTTGCAGAAGCTCGGGGGTGGGTGCTGTTTATCCGTGAGCACAGATCCAGTAACAGCCTTGCCGGCCTACTGCAGAAAGTTCGCTGTTTTTCCTTCTAGTGTGAGTTTCTGTGCTCTGCATCAGGAGTGAATCCTAAGGCGTGGGATGGGCTTCCTGCTGTTTTCTGTCTTGTATGATTAACAGGTCCTCTCAGAAACACTCCTGAGCCCACCTGCTAGTGCGGCTCTGTCCTGAAAAAGTGAAAAATGCCCACAACAAGTTCCAGGTTGCAGGCACAGAGATTGCACCTCCCCGACTCTGTTCTCTGTTCTACACAGTAGCACCCAAAGGCCTCCTCCTTAAAGACAAACCAGCCCTGCTGCTGGCCCTGAAGGCTTTGGCTGAGGAGAAAACATTTTCCTGACCTCACTCAAAGGACTCTAGGATCCCGCACATGATGCTATTAATTGGTCTGGTTTTTCTCCTTTCCTGGCAAATAGGGAAATTAGATTTGACCTCTGCTCTAATCACTCTAAATCATTCTTGGACTGAAGATTTACCGTCTTTGTAATCAGGGCATCTATTATCATCCTGATTAACGCCCATGATCTGATGGGCGGGCCCCAAAGACAAATGTGGTTTCCATAATTTCTCATCCCCATTTTGAGTGCAGATGTCTTTAAATGGGGTGAAATCATCTTTAATAAGCACGCATTAGAATTCAGATGGCTCCGGGGTGCATTAACAGTTTCCCAGCAAAGCCCTGTGCCTAACCACCTTATGGGTCCCTTTGAGGTCCAATAAGAAAAAGGCAACAAAAATCTCAGAGTAAATCCACTTCTCGACCAAACCATTATGTATTTAGGACAGACTAGGAAATGTGATGCTATACTTTTCTTGGCACTAATGAAGCACTGGTACTTCTCAAACATGTTAAAAAGAGGAGGGATTATACAAGCCGCCTATATGCCAGTGAACAAATGAACGGATAAAGTACAGTATATATACACAATGGAGTACTACTCAGCCATAAAGAAGGGTAAATTTGAGTCATTAGTAGGAAAGTGAATGAATCTTGAGACCATAATGCTAAGTAAAATAAATCAGACAATTAAGTATTGCACAGTTTCTCTTATATGAGAAATCCGACATGTGAGTAATTTAAAAAGCAAAATAAAATGAGACAATAGGAAACAAGAAGGCAGACTTTATGGAGATGGCAAGGGGGTCTGGGGGAAAAAAGAAGAGGAGAGAGTAGGGAGGGGCAGGGAAAGCAAAAATGATTAAGATATGTACACATACCGATACCCCAAGATGGATGGCAAGAGTATGTATCTCAAACACATACCAATAAATAAAGATAGAAAAGTAAAAAAAAAAGAAACAGCAGAAAACCACTTTGCCTTGAAGCTGAAGAATACATAAGTGCTGGCTTCTCAACTTCTAGTTTGGAATTATTTGTAGGGAAGCTGCTCACTTTTCAGAGCCTTGACCTTTTTCTAGCCTTAAAATAGAGTTAAAAATATCCCATACAAGGCTTCTGTGTCAATTACCTAGACTGTTTCTGCAAATGTATCGATTCATTTCACATTTATCAAAATCACATTTCAAATATATTTACTCTACTTACAGTCGTGGAGGCACTGCGATGTGTGACCTCTGCAATGAGACAATCGTGTTTGTATTTTTCACCAAACTCTTCACCCTAGACCTGGTTCAGAAAAAGTGCTCAGTAAATTATAGAAGCACAGAGAGAATTCTCAGGAAGTTAAGATCTCGCTGCGCATTGGAGAGAAGCCCATAAACAAGTGGTCTACAAAGTAGAGTGTAGAAAACGTCATAGGAGAACAATAAAGGTTTAGGGTAAAAGTGGGGAGGTGGGTGATATGAAGCAAGGAGGCCAGCAACATTGCTTGTGCAGACAGCAGGTGTCCCCTAGGCTGTGACAGTCGGCGGGAACTCCACGGGAGGCAGGGAAGGTACATGTCTCCTGGCAGAAGCCGAAGTGACAGCTAAGGGTGAAGCAGTGGGCTGGGCAGATACCGACATGGCCGTGCCCAACCAGTTGCATGGGGCAGCACTGGAGGAGGCAGGGAGCTCCTTACCGCTGTGGAGCACCTGACGTGGGTCAGCCCAAGGGCCCGGCACTCCCCCTTTTAGTCCTCACACCTGCCCCTCCATCTGGAGAGCTCTGCCACGCTACACCCAATGTGCCACGCTCAGATTGCTAGCAGGGATCTGTCGGTAGGTCTCTCTGCACCAAAATTCCTTTCCCCCTCCATCTAGAAAGGAAGGGTGCTATTGAGATCAAAGGCAGCCACTGACCTTGAGGAACAGTGCCCAGGCTAGGAGCACCCTCAGAGAGTCTGAGACTTGTGCCCAGGCAGAGCTTGAGTCTCAGGGACAGCAGGAGCTGGTGGCATTTGTAGGCTCTGGATTAAAAGAGGGCCAGGAAACCTATCAAAAACTATTACAGGGACTGCTAAGAGGTTCTGACCCAAGATTCAGCAGGGATAAAAGGGAGGCATCTTCCCCAGTTCTGCAAAAGAACTAAATGTGGGGAGCAAAAAAGAGGGAGGATGTGGAGGCAATGGAGGAGACAGGATGAGGAACTGACTCTAGGGACAGAGGGTGAGTTGGTTTGGGATGTTACACAAGAGTAAGTGACCCTTGGCTATGTCCAGGCAGCTATTTCCAAGTTAGTTTTCCACTTCACCGTCCTAACCACTTTCATCTACTGCAAGAGAAGTAACACATACTCCCGAAGAAGGGGCTGTGGGCCAGGCACAGGGTATCCCCGGGCAGTCCAGGGACACTTAGTGAGGTAGGGAAAGTCAGAATAAGTGCTCTGATGGCTTCAGAGGGCTATGGGGACGCTCCATGTGTGCCTGGGGCAGTGAGTATGGTGACACATTGCCTTTCTGTGGTTCAGACAAGGATGGACCCCTCGCAGTCAGGGTTTCTGAGAAGGAGATGTCAGATTAGCCATTCTGCAGAGGCCAAGAATGAGGACCAAAATGCACGGTGTGTCTTTACTGTCTCAGAGTGAAGCCAGTTGAGCAGAAAGGGCCTGAAGTCACATAAGTTCCCAGCTCACTCCAGAGACCCATTTTGACACTTGTCTTGGTTTTCTTGCCTTGGTTATCAAGTACTAGGAGGCCCAGGGCCCACTGAGAGAGAACCAAACAGAAGGGGGTTTTGAAAACTCTAACTTATCAGAACTTCCATTTGTTGAAGGAAAGGCCTTTTCCGGTTCTTCCTTCCCTGGGAGAGCAGAGGGCTCTCACATAGATGGAGAGGGCCCTCGTGCTCCCTACTCCTGATCGAACCACCAGTCGCAACCTTTGCAGTCCCAGGAGGTTACTTGGCCTCTCCATGGACTACAAGACACAGAGCTGCTCCCCTCACCCAGTCCCCAGGCTGGCCATGGCACCAAGTCGGTGCTGAGGCCAAAGGCCCCAAAACTGCTCTCTCTCTCTCTCTCTCTCTCTCTCTCTCTCTCTCTGCTCACCCAATCCAGCCTCGAGCCTTTCTGCAGATGGGCAGGACACCAGGCGGCCAAGGAGCAGAAACCCTTGCACCTGGACCGTGGAGGACGTGGTCCGGTTCGTGAAGGACGCTGACCCGCAGGCTCTGGGGCCGCATGTGGAGCTCTTCAGAAAGCACGTAAGCTCCCGCCTGGCTTGGCTGGGGAGGGGTTTGGAGGCGTTTCGGGATCTCCAGTTGCTGGGGCTCTGGATGAAGCCCCAGGGCACCCTTGAGAGAGACAGAGATGGGGGACAAATGCACACACAAGCTTCTCAGAGCAGAACACCCACTTGGCTTTATTTGTAAGGGATATTTGTCCCATCTGTTCGCATTTTGGCCTTCATCAGGATGCCTGTTTCCCTGCTCATCCGTCTGTCTGTGCCTCCATCCGTCATTTATAGCACACCTACAATATGCCAGGCCAACTGGGAGAGGGCCTATCCTCAGCTGCTTTGAGGATTAAATGAGAAAATGCACATAAAGCTTTCCTCATGGTGCCTGGCCTGTAGATAGCCTTCAGTTAGGAGGTATTGTTATAATTCTTTAGGCAATTCTGAAATATATTAAAGACGGTAAATTTTTTAAAAAGTGAGAATTAATATTTTATCTACCAAGCTTACTATATTAGTTCCACATTGCTGCTGTAATGTTACCACAAATATAATGGCTTAAAACAGTATACATTTCTTATCTTACAGTTTGTAGGTCAGAAGCCTGACTGGGGTCTCCCTGGACTACGACCCAGGGGTCCGTCAGCAGGACTGCATTCCTTCCTGGATGTTCTAGGTGTTCTAGGGAGAATCTGCCTACTTTTCCTAACTGCAAGCCCACTGTCCTTCCTTTGTACTCCCCACCTTGCCTTCAGCTTTGATGCCTGTAACGTCAAGCAGAACCCTTCCTCGGCTGCCCCCTCTGCGGTCCTGTCTTGTGACTTCTTCCTCGACTTGGAAGGAACTTTCTGCCCTCCCCATAACCCATGGTTGGTCCCCCCACTTCGGAGCCAGCTGACCAGCAGCCTTAATTCCACCTGCAGCCTGACTTGGCCTTTGATTGAAGGGATTAAGATGTGGAAGTCTTGCAGGCAGGGGAAGGAACATTCTTCTGCCTGTCACTGGAGCTGTCTCCCCTGCTCTGTCCCTCATTTCACTTGGTAATCCTGTCATAGAAATTATGCTGTCAGATCCAGGCAGGGCCTTCTTCTAATTCAACACTTGCATTTTATAGGCACGTTCTTAACTTGGCCTGACAGTGGTGGCTGTTCAGACAGATTGGCCAGGGGAGGTCTGGCTTTCTTTCCAGGGCAGTAGCAGATGGTAGGAGTTGAGGAAGTAGGGTAATGAAGGAACATCAGGAAAGGAGGCTCCCGGGAGGGACCCACAGATGAGCTTCCCCCACCCATTATTTTACGAAGGACACAGAAAGTAAGTGATATTGAGTAGGTGCACTCTCAGTATTGGATGGATGCAAGCAAGGGTGGATGGATGGGAAGATGGATGAGAGTAGCTGGTGACCCTTGTGTGTGATATGAGTCCCCTGTGTCTCTTATCCCAACTAGAAAATACCCTATGTTGAGGAAAGCAGCCTGGCTACCCTGAGTCCCACCTGTGTTCGGGAGGGTTACTATTTTTAGAGACAAAGGGAGCAACACCAGGACCTCAAAGGAGTGGCTCATTCCCTTACCAGTTCTTTGTTGTAAACCCTGAGATGAAGCAGGTGCAATGTGTATTCTGTCTAATGTTATTGACAGAGCCAAAAACATAGAGTGTGGTTTGCAGTTCTGTAATAGGCTGAAGGTAGGCGGGCCTCCACGATAATAAAGAAGATTAGGGCAATGGATGGAAGACAGAGCCTAATGCCAGCCTCTGGAATGAGATAGAAAGACAAGTTGTAGTTTCAGGGCCTAACAGATTTCACTTTTAGTGACAAATATCACACATGAGCTATCGGGAACCAAAGTGGGTTATGTTTGATTTCATCTATCAGGAACAGGAAAGACCCAGTGTATCATATGATTCCAAAAGAGGAGCACATAGTATTTGTTTGCTTAATTTTTTTTAAAAAAGGAGAGCTCGCCCTGATACCAAGAGAATATGCTCTCTGAATGTACCCACTTGCCCTGGGCACATATCAACCTTAGTTAGATTACTCTAACCATTTTCTGGATTTTCTTTTTCTGATCCTGGTTCACCAGGAGATCGATGGCAATGCTCTTTTGTTGCTGAAGAGTGACATGATCATGAAGTACCTGGGCCTGAAGCTGGGACCTGCACTGAAACTCTGCTACCACATTGACAAACTGAAGCAAGCCAAGTTCTGAAATTATCCGAAAGACAGAAGCCAAACCCAAGACACCAGATCTCAAGATTATCTTCTGCCTTACCAACATCCAGCCAACATCATGAAGTAGTCTCCTCTTAAAAGGAACAATCACAAAGACTTGGCCTTTTTATAAAACATGTGTATCTTTGCCTTTTTAAAATTTCATATGATTCTTTTTGAAACGCTCATATGTGTTACTGACCTGCAAAAAAAAATTACCAAAAAAATCTATTATTTTTTACATTCTTGGTGTTGGTTGCTCACAGGAAGGGTGCTATTTGTATAATGAAACAGTAGGGGACTGAATGTTGTTGCCTAAACTTGGCCCTGCAGGGTTCAAAGGCTGTGAGAAATACTTTGTCCCTGCAGGTGGTACAGGGCTTTGGGCCCTGCACAGCACCACCTGCCTCTACTCTGACCTGGGATCTTTCAGCATAAGCCCTGCTGGATTCAGCTCCGGTATATGTGCTGCCAAATCGAGTGCTGGAGTCAGCTCTGGAAGCTGACCTCTGAGCACGACTGCCTCACCTTGCACTATCTGGAAAACTTGAAAGAAAATTTTTTTTTTGTTTTCTTTTTCTCTGAAAGGGGAGGGGAAAGGACCATTTCTATCCCTAGTTAGCTGAAGTACTGTGTTATCCCACTAGAGGGCAGATTGTTAATGAAATTTCAGGAAGAACTGAGTGCAGTCAGTCATCTGCTAATTCAGAACTCAGTGGCTGGGCTAGGGTTTCTAGGGACACGGTCCAGCTTACACAGAAATAGGGGAAATTACCCCACAGTCAGCATCACACATTACAAATCGAGAAGAAACCACCGTCTAGAGGGTCCTAGCTCCTATCCAGTCATTGTTCACTGACTGACCCACAAGCAACAAAGCACACACTGCCCAGCTGGGGTCTGGAGTCCTCCCCTTGCAGAGTCCTTACTGAGGCACCAAAGCACTGGCATGCTGAAGAATCTTAGTGACATTTCTCCGTGGATGTTTCTAGGAAAAAGAAAACTGTCTCAACTACGCTTTGAGATGGGAGAGTTTTGACTTCTAATTACATTGCTGGATTCTGTAGCTGAATCTGTGGTTAATTTTTCTAGTCCTCAACAAATACACAGACATGCTATTATTGGGTTTAATTCAATTTACAAATAGGTTTCCTTCCTCACCGTGGAGTAACAGAAAAAAATTGATTTTCTACCCCTTCACAGCTGTGTCCAGAGAAGTACAATGAATCCACAATTTACTAGGAAGGAGGAGGCCTCTTCTTGGCTAGTGTTTGTATCATTCTCCTTTCTTTCTCTCTCTTTCTTCTTCCTTTATTCTCAGTAAGCAGGAAACACACTTTTGAAATAAATTCCCCTTTGCCACAGGCATATTCCTTTCCTTAAAAGAATATCTACTGTGTCAGGGATGAGGAAGAGATGGGATTTTGGCACCCATGGGAGGGTGAGGCTCGATGATCACTCAGGAGCTCCTTTGGCCCAAATGTGAATTAGAAAAGGGGCCCCTCCTCCAGGACGCAGCCTGTTCAGGGCCTCAGCAGGCCAGCGGAGCTGGGTGAGGTCTCAAGGCCCCTTGCCCCTTGCCCAACTGCCCTCGTGTGGAGCATGACCTGCACAACCCCGAGGGCAGCCCTGGGTGGACCTGCTTGTTGGCCCTCCAAAAATTGGTTTGAATTTAAATAAACACCAAAAGATACATTCTACATTCTACGTGATTGGGCCCACTTTGAGAAGCAACACTGTAGAAAACACACCGTAGCAAAATCTTTTATGGACACACAAACGGTGGCTGATTTAGGTTTTGGCAGAGAAGGGAAAGAAGAGAGTGTCCCAAACCCACCATTGAGGTGAGCTTGATTGGGAGGTCACAGAGCAGAATGTCTGTTGGTTTCAGCACATGGCAAAACTAATGAATCAGGCCTTAAGATAGAATCTTCAAAGTTTAAAGTGATGAATGCACTCTGTCACTCAAAGTTTGGCTAATGCTAAGTGCTCTGAAGTTAGATAATTTCCCCCAGAAGGCACAGCAGTTTACATATTCAGAACTGCCGTGGAGCAAACGGTGCGATCCAGAAGATCCCAGGGCAGCCCAGGTTCTTCCCTCCATGGTTTTGGCTCGGTCCTGGCTTCCTTTCAGTACCTCTTCCGTGGGCATGTGCCACCTTCAGTGACTTGCAACATTAAACTCGCAAAATGTCCTGCGCTGCTCACCAAGGATCCCTGGCTGCAAACACATGAACACTGGTGCCCCTGAATAAAATCAGACCCAGAGAGAGTCCAAGAGATCAAGCGTCATTTTCCAGGGAGAGACATGCTCCTGTTTCAAGTCTAGGAGAAAACTGGCAGCTGTGCAGTTGCTGCCACCCAGGTGCTGTCCCATCCCCATGGAGCTTTAAGCAGGCCAGATTGCCAAAGCCATGGCATTTAAGGTTTGTCTTTTGAAAAATCTCACTACTTTTAAACTGAATGCTGTCATTTCAGAGAATAACCTGGAGAGGAAATTCCTCATGCTTGTTTTTGTACCAAAATGCAATTAGCTGACCAAATTATCATAGCAATACTGCAATTATAATTAATTTTCATCCCTCTCAAAAATCTTGTCAAACCAGGAAGCTAAAGAGCTTTTCAAATGTAAAACATGCCAGACCATTTCCTCTAAACAGACTTTACAGGGTCAGGCTGTGGAAGTCATTCTGGCCCACGTGAGAGCTCCTTGGGGGCCTCGCACCTGACAGATAACTGTGCTTGTTATTCCACTGTGGTAGCTTGGTTTCAGGTTGTAGTGAATAATGATCCAGTTTTACATAATTTCAAATTAAAGTGTGTGTGTTCATGTTCTTAACATTTCCAATTACACTTGTCCGTTAAACACTTGAAAAAAAAATCTAGAGACAATTCTATTGCCTAAGGCATTTTAAGTATTTTACAAAGCACATTGTTTCCTTTGTGAAGACTTTAGGTGAAGGATGTGTGTGTGTGTGTGTGTGTGTGTGTGTGTGTGTGTGTGTGAGTGTGTGTTGGCTGACACTGTAGCCGGAAACTCCTTAGGAAATGGGTGGGAGAGTACCAGCTGAGGTTTTTGCTTGGTTTAAAATGTTAGCTGCCTTTGTCTCCCAACCCTACTCACCCACAGGCTTTGACAACTCGCAGTCCCCTCTTAGGCCAGCAGAGTGTGCCCTGCAGGCAGCTGGGTAACCGGGAGTGTTCGTGGGTCCTGGCCCTGTCCCCCTCAGGCAGCTAACTGGACGTGCCAAGCCCAGGGTTCGAGTGACAGAAGAGGGACCTCTTGGAGGAGTGCCAGGCAGGAGGGCCTTGTTCAGTACCCACCAGAGAGGGTACCAGGCCCCACCCTCTCCCTTCTCCCTGAAAGGTTTTTCCTTTCAGCCAGAAAAGAGTGAAGAACTGTGAGAGAACCACCTGTGATGTTAAATACCTTAGGAAGGAATACTGGGCTGGGTTTGGTTTTCTCCACAAAAAAAGGAGGACCAAATTTCTTAGGAAAACAATCAAAGAACAGCTATTCTAAAGTCCTGACCCAGGATGTGGCATGACCAGTGTCTGTATTTATGTATACAGTAGATCTTACTTTTCTAATTAAAATTATTTGTTAAATTATTTTTTTAAAAGGAGAATTTAATCAAGTCTGGGGAAAATTAGAAATGCCCAGAAGTGACTGGGGAGTTGCCTTTAGTCATTGTCAGAAAGTCCTGAGGGACGGAAGTATCCTGCTTTCTTTCTAAAGATATGGCCAGATCTTGGCAAGCACAAGTGGCCAGTGAGAGTTGTCTCCCGGGTGTTCAGAGGGAGACTTTTCAGCTCTTTTCCCTGGGAGCTACGGGAGAAAGGGGTGCGACTCAGTTTTGTCTAAACATCAGGTAACAAGACATAGAACTGTGCAGGAGCAGATTGCTTTTTAAACTGCCCATTTTGTTAATGAGGCGGGTACAAACCTGTCCACAGTCTGACTTGCATTTTTTAAAGATCATAAACATACTGTGAAGACTGAACACTTGCCTGGCTCTCCTGTGGTCTCACCATGTGCTTTAAACCCCCACCCCACTCGGCATGAAAGGACCACACTGAGAACTCCTGAGAGGAACCCAGCAGATGGTCAGGTGTCTGGTGCAAGATCAAACTCAGCAGCAGCGTCTGCCCAATCTGGCCCTCCAAGGGTTGGCCTAATCCAAGGCAATCCCTTCATGGACAATTGGAAGCTGGATTTTTGGAAATCTAGCATTTACTTGAAAGAGGATCACTCCTACTTATTGCCACCAGTTAAAGATTATGGAGACATGTCTGCTAACAATTTGCTTTGTGTAATTTGTTCTAATGCTAATAAGCAACAGCTGGGACACTTCCTGTGGTAAATTCCTTTGTGGTTACAGTGGTATCATCACACATGGACTTTACCAAAACGCTGTGCTTGAGAACAGCGCTCATCCCTGCTCTCAGGCTCCAGGAAATCCCCCTCTCCAAGAAAGAAGCGGCATTTTTAGAAGATGATTCACTTTCCTTCACTCTGCTTTCCCGAGCAGAGCCCTAGACCTGTGTGCTTAAAATCTACACCAAGAGCCCAGGGTTCCTGGCAAGCATAGCATGGAGTCTGACTTCCTCCAGAGGAAAAGATGGCAGGTGGAGTTTAAGAACAAGGTCTTCCTGCGGATCAGGTGAGTGTGCTGGACCATGAGTTGATATTGACAGGGTGAGGACAAGAGAACAGGCACAGACACTTCCTAAAGCTGAGACTGGCTCAGCAATCTATGAAATAACAATGCCAGCCAGTGCGGGGAGAGCGACATCTTTGTGTCCAAGGAGTCTCCTTCTAGCACTCAACTCGCGCTTGATATCATCTCACCATGCTCCACCCTGTAGCTCTACCACATGGCCTGAGCCTTAAAGTTGGTTCCACACACTGCGTGCTTGTGACAAGGCCAACATACACATCCTCCATTGTATCTGGCTTTCGGATACACCCCAAACCTTGCTTCTCCAAATAACTCATCATAAAGTAGGAAACCCTCACTAGGTATCCTTTTACAATAATCAATCACATGTGATCGAGGACTGTCTTCATTAGAAATGGAGCACCCTCAGATGGCACCTAGGCTCTGCCTATGGGCTGTTCCCTCCCGTAGGAAGGACACAGACATTGAGACAGCAATTCCTGAAGTGTTTTTCTCTTTAACAGAGCTTGTCCTTGCATCAACCAAACCCATATTATCAACTCACCCTGGTGGGTGAACTTCAGTGCTAGTCTCAGCCATACTGCACCCATAGAAGGCACATGTTATATAAACGTCAAAAGCAGGGAGGTCATAGTGTTAGCAGCTTTTGGGTGTGGGAGAGATTCTTTCCAGGTTCTCAGTGTCCTGAACAAAGAGCGGGACAAGACACACAGAGGAGGTAGTGAGGATTTACATTATTTAAGATGGAAAAGCAATACACACTGCAGAGTTAGAGCTGGCCGATGAACAGACTCATAGCAGCCGCAAGGATAATGACAGTGCTTTTTTGCACATGGAATTCCTAGATTGCTTCTGCTTATGCCAACAGGCATGGGCAGGTTGTTCTGCCGGTAACTCACTTGGCCTGGTGTCAGTTTTAAGCTGTCCTATGAAAGGCCCGCTTGGTTTTGGGCCAGATGTAAATGAAGAATGGAAAATGGCACCCATCTTGCTCGGTCCCACGGATGGGGTCTGGAACTGCAGTCATCCTGGATTCTGTGTTCTGCACATGTGCCCTGGGTCTCTATAACCAACAGGTCTGCCCACTTGCTTAGTTTTATCCCAACCCTAATCACGTTACTTCAACAGCATCAGATTAATCAGGTCCGTCATGAAAAAAGCTAGTGAAATGTTTGTGGCTTCTCCAAAAAGCAAAACAAAACAAAAATGGGGTGATTTTCAGCATAGTTATAAATCTAGCTGTGGTCACACGTGCATATGAGTTATATAAGCTTCTGTGAGTAAATCCAGGTCACGTGACTCGTTAACGACTATGAAAAATATAACCTGAGATGTGGAGGCCCTGTATCTCTACTGATCTGTGATACAGTGAACTAAGGAAGCTGTAGATTAGACAAAACAAGTTCTGATCACTGATATGAAAGTAAACATAGTCAGTTATGAATGTATGAGGAATGTTTATGAACCCATGACCAAGTTAGGTCTTGTGCTCATGTGCTGGTGCACAGGCAGCGAGCGTTTGTGAGCTACTGCAGCAAAAATGGGCACTCGGGGGTAGAACAGGGATCATAAAGGGAAATTTTGCTTCTTGTAGATTCCTTTTCATTCAGAACTGCCAAGCAATGATTTAGAAATCAGGCCCTAGCTGGGCGTGGTGGCTCACGCCTGTAATCCCAGCACTCGGGAGGTGGAGGCAGGAGGATCGCTGTGAGTTCGAGACCAGCCTGGGCTACATAGTGAGTTCCAGGTCAGCCTCAACTACATAGTGAGACCCTGTCTCAAAAAACAGACAGACAAAAAAAAAATCAGGCCCCAAATTGCATGGCAGGTAGTTTATGTAGCTTGAAATTACACTACCGGATCATTCAGTGGGCTATGCAAATGGTCAGATTTCTCAACTTTGGAAGAAGTAGACAGAATCCAGCACCTGGGAAGCACCTGCCCCAGGAAGCACCTCATCATGCTCTGGCTGGCTGAACAGTGCATCTCCAGTGTTCATATCTTTTCCCAGACACTACTAGATTCATCTTTAAGTCCCAGGTTTTATCTTTCCAGAGAGGAAAATGCCAAAGGGACAGGCCTGAAGTAGGTGTAAGGCCTTCACTTCCCCCTGCTCTCAACCTTTCAACAAGCAGGGTACTGGCTTGTGTTTCACCGCCCTCTTTTTCCCTGAAGTCCTAGATCTGATCGGCCTACTGCTCTCCTGCCAGAATTAGCAACAAATGATTCTGTACAGCTTTACTTTCAGAGCCCTTTTTCTTCTCAGTCCAGGACGCTTCCCCAACCCTCAGAAGTAAGAGCAGGGATCCGCCTGGGGCTCAGGAACTCTGTCCTCCCGGTAGCTGGCTTCCCTGGGAAAGCACAGCCCCAGCGCTGGCCTCAGCACACAGCTGATGCCCACCCAGAACTCAGGTGGGAGACGAGACGTCCCCGTCCTCTTCTAGTCTTCACGCCTCTCCTCCCTTGACGGAGATTTGAAAATAACTCTAATGTTTTTTACCCCTGAATGGTTACATAGAAGCCTTGAGAATAAAACTGTGTGATTGATTTCTCCTCCCCCTCCTTCCTCTTCTCCTTCTTTTCTCATAATCAT